AAGCTGGCACTCGGCAGTCGTGGACTCACAATCATCTTCGGAATGGCATTGCTGCCACTGCGGCCAACTCAGTATAGACGTCATAACTTATTTTCAAGGAAAACCCACGTCCCGGCACCCTTGACTGGAGTACATGGCAGTGAATTTATGGAAGTCGGTGTCCGCTCGAGCTGAAATGATGGAGCTGGTTAAAACATGTGACGGTTCGGTCGCGGTAACTGCTGTCGGTGTCTTTGGCATTGAGGCGCCATCGTGACCGACCCGATATTGATCTTCATTTGTCTTGAGGTCCCATGTGTGCTGTTTCTTGGGGTTGATCTCTCTCAGTGCAGGTCAAAGGGCACGTCGATTTACTCGTCGACCTGGTTGGACATCGTTCCGGTGCTGGGAAGACGCTGCAATCATGTGATTGTTGCCTTGTAGTTCCCCAGCGCCCGCGCTGCTGCAGATGGCCGTTGATGTTCGGTCCCTGCGGTATCACATCGGAGTATTGAGTTAAAACTACCTCCAGGAGCAGTTACAGAAGTTAGGCAAACTCCAGCTGGGAACAATCCCTAATTAGACCCTTCCAGCGAGCCGGGAGGCGTGGGTGGGCGGACCGTCGCTCCACTCCACCGCTCCACCACCAGCTTGCACGTAAAAAGGGTCGATGGGCCGGCGACAGAATGGGGACCCGCCCTGCCTGGGGTGTGTTGATCTAGAACAACACCATAGAAAAATATGAAACACTTAGAGCTCCGAAGCCTGCGTCGGATGAAAGCGAAGAGACAAAGCGATGGGTGAGCACGCGTGGGAACTCCAAACAAGACGCGGCACTCAACCCGCCAGCACGGCGACATCTGGGCCTGGGCTGACTGTTCCCAGAGCCATGCATTCTTCACGGCTGGGCTCCGGGCCCTGCAGCAGTCATGGGTGCGCGTGCAGCCGGCCGCGGTGCGCCGTAATTGAGGCGCCGCCGGTCGCCGAGAGGGTATCGAGCGCGCCGGCCCCGGCTCGAGACTCGGCCCGCTCCGGCACGTCCCGCCGCTGCGCCTGGGTAATGCAGCAGCCGGCTAACGTGCCGCACGTGCCGCCCTGCAGTCGTCCAACGGCAGCTACAAGCCCGACGTCAAGTTCGACGGCGCCAACGGCGTCGGCGCGCTGATGATGCGCCAGTTCGTCCGCCATCTGGGGCCGACGCTTAACGTGGAGATGTTCAACGAGGCGGGGCAGCTGAACCACCAGGTAAGCGCGCTATGGTCGAGACGGGACAGCTGGCCCACCAGGTGAGAGGCGCCGTGGTCGAGGCGGACAGCTGAACCACCAGGTGAGAGGCGCCGTGGTCGAGACGGGACAGCTGACCCGCCAGATGAGGGGCGCCGCGGCCGCTTCGGCAGCGGTCGGGCTCAGCGCTGTCGGTCAGCGTGGATATGGAATTAGTTGAGTTATTGATCATCTGACCGGGGCTTTCTCGTAATTATGTCAGGAAAGGAAAGATGTGCGTTAGGTTGAATGTTATGAATTGACCGCTGATCTTGTTCAAACACATGAAGTATTACAAGTAACGAGTATTGATTTTGCACGTTTGAGGAAGACCAGCGGTCGAAGTATAACGTCTAATTTAACGTCGATCTTTCCTTGCTATCAATGATTAGGAGGAATCCGCGGTCAAACGATCAATAATTGGATTGAAACCATGCGTCTTGCGACAGTGCTGAAACCAGTAAAACAGCTCGGCCATGTACTTGCTCTGTTTGACGTGCTGACTATCCTCAGGACGGGTGGGCACTACCAATTGAAGATGATTCGGAAACGCCTGCCCACGGCGCTCTTTACAGGCCCTCAGCTGGGCTGCGTCGGCTTGTCTCAAGCCCTACCAAATGTGACTGCATGACTGATCTTGAAAGGGGTGCGAAGATATTCACTGTGCGCTCAACAAACATTGCGGCGTGACATATCTGTCAGTTCATTGTGTTGTCTTCGGTTGTTTAGACTGGGAGCTGTCCGATATGTCAACTGGACCCATTTGTTAGTCGACTTCCTGATATGTTTTTTTTCATATTTGATCTGAACCTTCTTGATTGAATGGATTCTGGAATAAAAGCTCGCTCTAAGCAGTGCTTCTTGTCGGAGCCCAGACGTGTACCGCCCGATCGTGTAGATCCAGGTCAATGCTAGAATTTGACGGCGTGAGTTGAACGTGCCGCAATGCTCGGCACGGTCCTTCCTGCACTTTGACGTCACCTGGCCTTCAGCGCGGTCGCTGCCTCTGGCCGCAGACCACCGGGCCTGCGGCGGCCCGCGGTCCCCTTCTCTGCTGCCCCCGCACGTCGCCACCGGCCAGCCACTGAGCGTCGTCCTGTCGTCCCGCAGTGCGGCGCCGACTTCGTCAAGGTGCAGCAGCGGCCGGCGGAGGGCATGGCCATGGCCGCCGAGGCCCGCTGCGCCTCGGTGGACGGAGACGCCGACCGCGTCATCTACTACTACGTGGACGGACAGGACGTGTTCCACATGCTGGACGGAGACAAGATCGCGACGCTAGGTCAGTGGAGCGGCCGACAGGCTGGTCGCCGGGAGGGGGGGGGGGGGGGGTAGTGGAACGGAGCCCTCGGGGCCGTGACAGGTCGGTGCGCTGTCCCCGCGCGCGCTAGGTTGGCGCGCGCTGCCACGATACGTCGGTGTGGCGGGCGCTGCTCATCGGAGCAGGTCTGCGTGGCGGCTGGCTGGGTGGTGGCCTCGTTCTCGGTGTGTTCTCTTGCTGACTGGCGTAGAGCATGGGAATTCCGTTAGCGCAGCCTGGCTCAGAACCGTCACCTGGCCATTTGTAGCTGCCTCTGAACGCTCCTGTGTTGTTGCATCAGCTGAGAGTACGACGCGAATAACCCCATTCATTTCAGACGGGGCCGGTGTGTACTTGGCCACCCGGCCCATTTGATGACGTCATCAGGATGTTGGTTGAATCCCAAGACAACTGAAAGCTCCGAGTAGCACACTCCGCCCGTTTAACTAGCTGGAGCTTGCGTACAGGCCCATTCATTCGGTCAGGATGGAGTTCCCAGTGGCTGTTACATTCACCTACGCGCCCCAGACCGAATCCATGACCTTATTTTCACGAGTCGTTTGGAAAGGCTGTATGCATTCAGCGCAGGCTGGGATTCAGCCCTGGCCGGATACGGGCGCAGTTGTGGTGGCACAGGGACGCCGTGCAGCGCCGGCTCGGAATACCCCCGCGCCGCTGGGACGCCTGGCCGTGGAGCCATTACAGGAAGTAAGAAAACCCGCGCGCGGGCGCTGGTGTATTTGTCTAGCAGGCCGGCGACGCTTCTCAGTTCTGCAAGACATGAGATAATGCGCAGAGCGGAGGGCAGTATGGTGTTTGCGGTAGGTCACCACTGTGGAGGCTGCGTAGATGGCGTGACGTGTCAAATCGAATTTTTCTTGACGACGAGAGTAATGTTATTCGATCTCTATCGCTGTTTGTCCGGCGAATTTTTCGCGAGCGCCGCATTTTGGGGAGGACGCATCTGCAATATGCATTTGAAGCGGGATGCCTGCATGTTGCAAAAGTGCGGCGTGTTTATGCGTGGACGCGCGCTCCAGCCAGTGCCATGCCGCCCGGCGATGTGCCGTAGCGCGCCACTGTTGTCGTCGAAATGGCCGAGTTTACGAGTGCTGCGAGCCAGCGTCACTCCTTTAGTGTCGGCCGCGGCCGGGCCGGTTTATTCCCCAACAATAGCTGGGGGAGGGGGGGGGGGCGCGACGCGTGCGCGGCTGGAGTGCGGCCCGAGAGACGCGGCCGCCGAGGAGGGCGTCCGCCGGTGGGACGGTCGGCAGCTGGCGCGGCGGTAGCGCCGATGCGGACCGCTTCTTCGGCCCAGGCTGTGGTCCACTCCGCCAGCCCAGGCCGCGCCAGGCCAGGCCGCGGCCTGCTCCCGCCAGCCCAGGCTGTGGTCCACTTCGCCAGCCCAGGCTGTGGTCACTTCGCCAGCCCAGGCTGTGGTCCACTCCGCCAGCCCAGGCTGTGGTCCACTTCGCCAGCCCAGGCTGTGGTTCACTCCACCAGCCCAGGCTGTGGTCCACTCCGCCAGCCCAGGCTGTGGTCCACTCCGCCAGCCCAGGCTGTGGTCCACTCCGCCAGCCCAGGCTGTGGTCCACTCCCGCCGACCCAGGTCGCGGCCTGCTCCCGCCGGCCCAGGCTGCGGCCCACCTCTCCGTCCCAGACCGCGGCCCACTGTTCAGGCCCAGGCCGCGGCCCACTCCTCCGTCCCAGGCCGCGGCCCACGCCTCCGTCCCAGACCGCGGCCCACTGCTCAGGCCCGGGCCGCGGCCCACTGCTCAGGCCCGGGCCGCGGCCCACTGCTCAGGCCCGGGCCGCGGCCCACCCCTCCGGCCCGGACTGCGGCCCACCCCTCCGTCTCAGGCCGCGGCCCACTGCTCAGGCCCAGGCCGCGGCCCACGCCTCCGGCCCAGGCTATGGCCCACTCCTGCCGGCCCAGGCTATGGCCCAGTCCTGCCGGCCGGCTGGAAAGAAACCAACGCGTGAGGAAAATCTAATTTGTTTTTTTGTGTTTGTTGTCTCTGTGTTTGGCATGCCGGCTGTTTGGAGTTACGCCATTAACACCAGCAACGCTGCCAGACACAGCGCGACAAACGGCACCGCTGACATCAGAGCTAAACAGCTAATCCATTGGGTTGGACCTCAGTCGTTCGAACATCGCTTCAAAACAAAAGTCAATACCTCATTGTGAGGTCTCCTTTTTATCGTGTTTTGCTATCGAATTTCACTGGCCCGTCGCTTTGGCCAGGCCTAGTCTAATAGAGTGTGCCGTGAAATATGTGATAGCCGACCTTCCAAGTTGACGCATAGTGTCCCGGTCGCTATATCCAGCCGTCCGAGCACCAGCTCCTCTCTCCACGATAGCCTGCGGTCTTCCCTTTGACGTTCGATCTCGTGCGGCGTACGGGTCGGCTCGCAACTGTCCTGGAGAAACTAAATCCAGTTGAAGATGTTGGAGTTTGTTCAGGTGTCACTAGAGTAGTCGAGATACATTGCCTGTTCACTGTATGCAAATCCTCGACCGACGTGCTAAAGGTTTGGGCTGTGTTTACAAATATTTGGGCGCTGGAAATAGTTCGCGTGGTACAAATTGTTCCCAAATGGGTCCATGTCCTCTGTTCTGGTCTTGTGTATGAGAAGATTGCTGTCGAAAGTATCCCAGGTGTCGACAGAGGCGCCCAACATTGTTGCTCCTGGTCATACCGTACTCAGCGAAGCTGAATACCTACATCTTCATTGTTTCATTGATATTCGTTTCAGCTGAAGCTAGCGTCGGCCTCAAACTTCAGCTTTTCTTCTCTTGTGTCCCATTTTCAACCTGAGACAAGCGTACATTGACGAACGTTTAAAAGAGAAAAGCTCGCGCTGTATTTTCCCGGGAAGGGATTACCGTCAAACCAGCTTATGTCGACCGATGCAAACATGGAGAACTCACGGCGTCCAGCTCACGTCGTCCGTTGCTTGGCGAGAAAAGATGGCAGCTATTCACTCATTGACATCCGTTTCCAATCTCGCCACGCTGATGTAACGTAGAGCACAGAGCAGCATGATGGTCGGAAAACGCATTAATTATCTGCGGCCGTCGACAGGTTAGCACGGTTGAAGTGCAAAAAGTGTCTTTTAGTTCTTTGTATACTTTTTAAGGAGAAACTTTGCGTTGTCGTTGCAGCCGAAGGGTCTTTCTGTTTTTTGTATGCGCCCGGTGTGCAAGTCCCCAGACATGTTTTGTCAAGCCTGGCGTTTAAGTGCAAGCATGGGTCGTCATAGACTGTGCGGGCCTGTGTGGACCTGCCTCGGTCCGGTGTCGTGCGCCCCTGCCGCTGTCCTCAGCTGTTGTGCGGGCCTGTGTGGACCTGCCTCGGTCCGGTGCCGTGCGCTCCTGCCGCCGTCCTCAGCTGTCGTGCGGGCCTGTGCGGACCTGCCCCGGTCCGGTGCCGTGCGCTCCTGCCGCTGGCTTCAACTGTTGTGTGGGTCTGTGCGGACCTGCCCCGGTCCGGTGCCGTGCGCTCCTGCCGCCGTCCTCAGCTGCTGTGCGGGCCTGTGCGGACCTGGTCCGGTCCGTTGCCGTGCGCTCCTGCCACCGTCCCGACGTCTGCTGCGTACTACGTGTGCCGTTGGCTGTGCTCGTGACGCGGACGGCGCCGGGACACGCGGGGTTAGACCGCCACAACGTCGGACCGCGCGCCGCACACGCACCAACTGGCCCACGCGGGAGCGGGGCCGAGCGCAGGGTCCGCGCCGGCCTGGGCTTGCCAGAAGCGGAGCTTCGTGACGCTGATCGGCAGAGGGCCCGAACATCATGTGGAGTCCAGTGTCCTGAAACGTGCAGCTGTATGCTGCTGCTTGTCTTTGCTTACGTGTCCTTAAGCAGCAAGCAGGTTTCTTGGTGGTTTAGGCGTCGTAATGAGGGTGAAGACAAATATGGGGGGGGGGAGAGGGGGGATGGCAGGGCGATGGCGGTATGCAAAGCTTCACCCATGACCATCGTCATAGCACAGGAGCGGATTTCTGCATAATGCACGTGCACCGAAGGCCACATTTTGTCAAATGTGAAACTGTTCAATATTTTGTGTGTATACTTTTACCCTGCGAATGTGAGCTCCATGTTTAAACCAAGACAAACCACGCATATCACACCATGTGTCCAAACTCGTATACTCGCCTCCTCCGCCCAATAGTAATGGGAGGAGGAGCCCAGCAACCTAAAACACGACTCGGGTGGCCGCGGGGGCCCGCAGCGGCGCGGTGGAGTCCCAGATCCGGCTGATCGCATGCCTTGACCCGGATGGCGGTAACGTGCGGACGTTTGGCGACAGTGGCCGGCTACCTGAAGGAGCTGCTGGTATCCAGTGGTATCCAGCTCAACCTCGGCCTGGTGCAGACTGCATACGCCAACGGCAGCTCCACCAAGTACATCACCCAGCAACTGGTAAGGCACTCGCTGGTGTCCGCGCATACTCGCTACTCATTTGTTTGCATTGATCAAGAGAAGTTGGCTTAAATATACACATGCGTTTTGGTCCGTCTCTGACTCGACTCTGGCGCTTGTTCTTGCTCCTTCTCTTTATGTATATGTTTGCCGCCGTCTCCCGTATGTTCCTGCGTTCGCTCCGCGGCCCGCTCTCCGTGTCCGGCTACCACCAGTGCCATATTTCACTTTCGATGGCTATCGCTCGCTGGCCGATAGAACGGCCGGATTCAGGGCCATCCCGAGCTGACTTGGCCAGGCCACTGTTTCAAAGCGGGCCGAGCTGGGAGTCGCGCAGGAAACAGTCGTTTGACGCGATTGAAGTCCTTTGTCAGCGGCGCACTTCCAAACGAATGTTTCCTCGACTGCGGCCATTGTGCTCCGCCTCACGGAGAGGTCAGCTGAAGTTGTGACGTATCGCAGTTCTCTGTAGATATGGCGCCAGAGCCCGTTGTGTCTCCAGTGTCTGGCGTTGGCACTGACCGGCGCCGCCGGCGTGTCACGGCGGATCACCCGAGGCGTGGTGTGACCTCACGTGATGTGACGTTCGCCACGGTGTGACCCCACGTGATGTGACGTTCGCCATGGTGCGATCCCACGTGATGTGACGTCTGTCGTGGTGTGACCCTGCGTGACCTAACGACTGTCATGATGTGACCCTACGTGATGTGACGTTCGCCATGGTGTGACCCCACGCGATGTGACATCCGCCATTGTATCACGGTGAGTTTCGTGACGTGCATGTCATGGTGTGACTGGTCGCATCCGTGCGTGCGAGCATGTGTGCGTGCTTGCGTGCGTGCGTGCGTGCGTGCGTGTGTGTGCGTGTGTCATTCCACGACGGTGTCAGTTCTGACCGAATATGATGGTGTAGGTGTTATCGTCTGCGAAAATATTATTACGGCCGTCTTTGATGATAGATGATGATACTGTCGGTAGTGTCGGCCGTTCGCTTAGCGCCTGCGGGGCGTGTCCGTCGTGGTGAGCTGACGGCGGGGCGTGTCTGCCGTGGTGGGCTGGCGGCGGGGCGTGTCTGTCGTGGTGAGCTGCCTGCGGGGCGTGTCTGTCGTGGTGAGCTGCCTGCGGGGCGTGTCTGTCGTGGTGAGCTGCCTGCGGGGCATGTCTGTCGTGGTGAGCTGCCTGCGGGGGCGTGTCTGTCGTGGTGAGCTGCCTGCGAGGCTTGTCTGTCGTGGTGAGCTGCCTGCGGGGCGTGTCTGCCGTGGTGAGCTGGCGGCGGGGCGTGTCTGTCGTGGTGAGCTGGCGGCGGGGCGTGTCTGTCGTGGTGAGCTGCCTGCAGGGCGTGTGTGTCGTGGTGAGCTGGCGGGGCTTGTCTGTCGTGGTGAGCTGCCTGCGGGGCGTGTCTGTCGTGGTGAGCTACCTTCGGGGCGTGTCGTGTCGTCGTGGTGAGCTGCTGCGGGCGTGTCTGCCGTGGTGAGCTGGCGGCGGGGCGTGTCTGTCGTGGTGAGCTGCCTGCGGGGCATGTCTGTCGTGGTGAGCTGCTTGCGGGGCGTGTCTGTCGTGGTGAGCTGCCTGCGGGGCGTGTCTGTCGTGGTGAGCTGCCTGCGGGGGTGTCTGTCGTGGTGAGCTGCCTGGGGCGTGTCTGTCGTGGTGAGCTGCCTGCGGGGCGTGTCTGTCGTGGTGAGCTGCCTGCGGGGCGTGTCTGTCGTGGTGAGCTGACGGCGGGGCGTGTCTGTCGTGGTGAGCTGACGGCGGGGCGTGTCTGTCGTGGTGAGCTGCCTGCGGGGCGTGTCTGCCGTGGTGAGCTGGCGGCGGGGCGTGTCTGTCGTGGTGAGCTGACTGCGGGGCGTGTCTGTCGTGGTGAGCTGGCTGGGGGCGTGTCTGCCGTGGTGAGCTGCCTGCGGGCGTGTGTCCGTCGTGGTGAGCTGACGGCGGGGCGTGTCTGTCGTGGTGAGCTGACGGCGGGGCGTGTCTGTCGTGGTGAGCTGACGGCGGGGCTCGTCTGTCGTGGTGAGCTGCCTGCGGGGCGTGTCTGTCGTAGTGAGCTGACGGCACGCTCCTTGTGCCGCCAGAACGTGCCTGTGGCGTGCACGCCCACTGGCGTGAAGCACCTCCACCACCGGGCGCTCGACTTCGACATCGGCGTCTACTTCGAGGCCAACGGGCACGGCACGGTGGTGTTCAGCGAGGCTGCCATGCAGAAGATCGAGCACGCCCGCGCCGACCCCGGGTAAGCCCTCACACCAGGGAGCACGCCGGCGCCGACCCTGGGTAAGCCCTCACGCAAGGGAGCACGCCCGCGCAGACCTCGGGTAAGCCCTCGCACAAGAGGGCACGCCGGCGCCGACAGCGGGTAGGCCCTCGCACAAGGGAGCACTCCGCGCCGACTCCGGGTAAACCCTCACGCCAGACGGCGGGATCACGCCCGCGCTCGTGGTACATCGGGACAGGTGTTAGCTTGGTCGGAGATTGGGCGGAACTGGAAACCTGCTGCGTTGTGTAAAACAGCAGAAGGGTGACATTTCATATTGGCAGAGGCAGCTGTGAGCTCAGCTGAAAGCCAGAATGCGCTAAATTTATCATAGCTGCGCCACAGTTGTCTTTGTCACTGCCATGTTAGCTTCTCCGGTTCCGGATGCGACTGCTTGAGCAACACCGCTATAGTCAGAGATGCGACGATTAAGCTGAAACGCTCATATTAAACAAAATTTCGCGCGAGCGCGAGGTATTTTGCTTGCGCGAGCTCCGCCATTTGCGCTGAACAAGTAAGCCAGCCACAGGCAATCGCACGCCAGATAAGCCAGTATCACTGTGGCGCCCCCAAAACCGTGAAATTTTGCTGTTAGCGTTGTCTGATACATTTTTAATGCTGTAAATTTGGTAGCGTAAGCACGTGACGTAAAGCGTTAGATGGCAGATTCAGTATGATCCTGACCGAATTCGAGCCGAGCGGTAGGATCAATTAGTAGTCAGAAGGTGCAAATAGGTTGTCAGCTCCCGGCCCTGGCCCCAATCAGAGAATTTGGTTGCCCCATTTGAGGCAGGATCGGACTGGACGCCCACAATACCGGGCCGACCAGGATCGCACGCCCGCGATACCGGACGCAGTCCTGTGGGCTGCACTTGACACAACCCGTAACGCCTGGCAGCTCAGGCAGCTTTGCAGCCCTCTGCGTTGCCGGGACGACGCCAGGTGTATTTGTTTTTCACCTCGCGGTGCGGTCTTCGAGGCCAGGAGTTATCAGATGTCTTGAAATGTAAACGACTGTAGTCCTTAATGGTGACCTTCCTAAGCAAAAGAAGAAAAAGAACGCCGTAAAAGAACGATGAGAATGAGAACCCACTTAACCGATATCCATCGACTTTGTTCAGATGTTTTCCATCAACCGCAAAAAATAATCCACAAGCAAGTGCATCAAGATGACTTTCACTTTACCAACAGAATCAATTTTTATCCCCACGAGCACAACTTGCAACAATGACTTCGCACATAATCTAAAGCCTGCTCGTTCAGCCTGATTGTTTCTCTGTCGCAGGGGAGAGAGCGCTCAGCTTCACAAAACTATTCGACTCCAGGAGCCATGCCAAAGGTCAAAGTTACACGTGCCACGCGCAGGCTGGCATATTCTAATGAAACCTTCACAAGGTAGTAAATAGCCAATTTTCCACATCATTTGACGCAAACTGATTATCAGGAGAGGAAAGTTGGCGCCGTAACGCATCACAAATGCAGATTCCCGAGACGGTTTCGCGACGGGAGAGCAATCAGTGTGTCGGCGACAGAAGACAAAGTCGGATGTGCGATGGACTGCGTGACGTCAGCAACCGCCTGCTGGCGACAAATGTGATGCAGGCGGCAAAACAAAAGAGGTAAAAGCCAGCTGTGCACGTGACAGCTTGCGATGGCTGCGTGGTTTTAGACGCGACCGACTCTCCCGGTGTCCACGCAGTTCTCAACCAACGCCTACATTGACCACCAAAACATGCAATAGAATAGGGTACAACAAGAAAGGCACACCTGGTGACCCCATACACCAATTGGCACGTGCCTTGTACCAGGCATAAATACCCCTGCGTTCGGAGCTAGACATCGTGTGTGGCCTGTCGCCATGCCCAGCTCAGACTCAGTCCGCAAAAGGCGGCCGACCAGGATGGACGATCCACGTCCGTCCAGGCGCCGCCGCTTATAATATTACAGATGATCATACGAGCTGCACTTGGAAAGGGATGTTTTGACTCAACCCCTGCTGGGATCGGCGGTTTTGAGGATTCCCTTTGTATCGTTGTTGGGACGGTGGTCTTGGCGACCTCTGCCGGCTCCACATCGTTGTCGTTGGTATAGGGTTCTGGGCAACTTCTGCCGACTTCACATCGATGTCGTTGGGATAGGGTTCTGGGTGATCTCTGCGGACTCTACATCGTTGTCGTTGGGACGGGGTTCTTCGCAACCTCTGCGGACTCCACATCGTTGTCGTTTGGATAGGGTTCTGGGCGACCTCTGCCGACTCCACACCCGATGTACGGTATCGAACTTCAAAACGACATGGTGGTTTTGTCTTGATCTGCAACTTCCGCGCAATATCTTATCATTTGAGTATGTGGTTAGCCTGTCAGGCTGGGTCAAGTGCGGTCTGATCGCGTCTCGGTCCCCTCTGATTAGGTTATGTTTTGTGTCGTTAGAGTTCGGTTGGTTCAGGTCAAAACACGCCATCATTTGCCATCAAGAGGTAGCTCTGAGCCTTCTGAGGCTACCCCATCACCTACAATGATGACCACGACTTGGCATGGCCTTCGCGCCGCCACCAACATAACTTAGTCAGGTGGTCTGCTTGTAACGGTCTCGTGGGTTGGTCTCAGGTCGACTTTGAGGCGTGACTTTATGTGGTCTTGACCTTGAATGACATCGAAAATGGTCACGTCTGTTGATGACCCTCACTGCACAATTGCTCCACACCGACAACACGGCCTGGACGACACCGCGCTGCACGGCCTGGCAGGACGACACCGCGCTGGCGGGGACGGCGCAGGGTCATGCCGCGCCCGTTGGTTTCCTTGCCGTCATGCAGAGCTTTGAGCTCGCGGCTGTATCTCGGTGACGTGACTATGTATGTTGTTCAAGCTTTAGATCATGTGTGAAAAGAGGCGTGCGTTTCATCGCGGCGCGCCGGACGACTTTAAATATTTCAGAGACCAAAAACAGCGACTATCCTCGCCAACCGCAAGGAATGCGTGAGTATGGTACATTGTGTCCCACGCTAAATACGTGAGTCCTTTTGCGAAATGTGTGCCACACGTCTAAAAGCTTGCAAAACAGGGAACGATGCCACTCTCTGAAGCCAAATTTTTCAAAGATGTATTGTGTCGGCTATTTGGCAGGGCTTCTTACTGAAAGGTGCTAGAGTAGTGCCCTGCGGATTGTTTTATGGCGGGTTCACGTCAGGCCGTCTCGACATTTGCTGATACCTATCAGGAGGATGCCTACGATCTTGTTTTGTGACAGGTTCTTATTGGGGATGGCTAGATAAGGTATGTGTAAAAAGTACTGGGCACGCCCTCTCTGATTTGCTGAATTGCTGGCGAGTGTTTGACAGTCATATCCTCTTGTTTATATCAGCCCTCTGTACGTCAGTACCTTTTCGGCGGCTCTCACGAATGTGGCTCTGTCACGGATGTGGCTCTCACGGATGTGGCTCTTTCACGGATGTGGCTCCCACGGACGTGACTCTCACGGACGTGGCTCTCATCGGCGTGGCCCTCATCGACGTGGCTCTGTGACGGACGTGGCTATCATGGATGGGGTTCTCTCGTGGACGTGGCTTTCTAACAGACGCAGATCACCCACGGACGTGGCTCCCACGGACGCGGCTCTCTTACGGACGTGACTCCCTCACGGACGTGGCTGTCACCGATATGGATCTCACGGAAGCGTCGCTTTCACGGACGTGTCTCATCGACGTGGCTCTCCCGGACGCAGCTCTCACGGACGCGACTCTCTCGCGGGCGGGGCGCTCTCGCGGACGTGGCTCTTTCACGGACGCGGCTCTGCCACGGACGTGGCTCTGACGGACGCAGCTCTCTCACGGACGCGGTTCTCTCGCGGACGCGTCTCTCGCCGACGCGGCTCTGCTACGGACGTGGCTCTAACGGACGCGGCTCTCTCACGGACGTGGCTCTCTCACGGACGGGGCTCTTACCGACGTGGTTCTCATCGCCATGGCCCTCTCATGTCAAATTCGGGTTTTTTAAGTGCATCACCATGAAAATGTGGGCAGATCAGACTGACGTCTCTCAGCATGAATGTTCACAGCACACCATTACATCCGTATCTCGTTGTGTAAATGGGATCTAAAAGGTTCAAATATGCTATGTACGAGCTTAGTGGGCGCCGTATCTAATCAGTCCAAGCGGTTGAAACGTTAGTCTGGCCGGTACGAATGGCCCTGAATGTGTGATTGAACCACTTGCGCCGCGTTGCGTGGCTGCGGCCGGCGTGCGTGTGACGGCTTGTCGGCCCCAGCCGGCGGTTGGCTGACTGCGGACGGCGCGGGGTGTGTGGCCGCAGATTGAGCAGCAGACAGCGGGCGGCCGTCTGCCGGCTGCGGGACGTGGTGGACGTCATCAACCAGACGGTGGGCGACGCCATCTCGGACATGCTGCTGGTGGAAACGGTGCTGCACTCTCGCGGCTGGAGCGTGGCCGACTGGAGCGCCGCCTACACCGACCTGCCCAACCGGCAGCTCAAGGTTCAGGTCAAGGTGGGTCGTCGCTCCCCGTCCAGAATGTCGTGATGTCCATGTGGTCGTTTACCGGCGCGCGTTCCTAAGTGGTAAGTCGCTCACCACTCTCATTGTGGGAGGGTGTCGTGCGTTTGTATGGAAATGGGCTTCAAAAGTTCAGACATAGTCGGGGCTGCTCGATTCACAGTTGAATTGGGGTCGTCGGTTTTGATTAAGTCTGTGGATTTAGGATGGAGATGGAATGCTTCGCCTGGCATTCCCGTTATATGGAGCTTGGAATGCTCCGGCATATCTGCGTTACGTGTGCACTCTGAAATGAGGCATTTTTTGTAATTTGTGTTGTTTTTTGTAATTTGTGTAATTACCCAAAACACACGCCAAAAAAATCAGCTAAATTCCCCGCGAGGGGCGGCTGTAGTATAGCTATTAGTTGCGCTTCCAGATGCAGCCAAATAGTACCATTAACCACCTAATGAATCAATCTAACGGTCTTGCGAGAAGTAATCCATCGTCACTGCGGCAGTGCTCTGCACTGAGTAGTATGATTCGCGTAATGTATGCAGTAAGCTCGGGTTACATTAGAATCTGGAAAACTGTCGTGGCGTTCGGCCTTATGTTGGGAGTCGTATTTCACTGGTCTGTGTTCCTCTGTCCAAAGAGAACTGGGTGGCGCGCTTGTCCATTGGCACAGATTTGTAATCCCGGTGAGGCCGGGCGGGTGGGCAGAGAGGGACATCCTGGCACTGGACGGCTTGTTCAGATTTTCACAAGACTATCAAACAATGGTCAGACCTTCCTTCACAGGACCGCGAGATCAAAGCCATCCGTCGAAATGGAATAGCAGTGGCGGAGAGCGGGTGCAGGACACAAAGCAGCATGTTCTCTGAGCCCTTCGCGAAATATGTGGAACAGTTGTAATTTATGCTCAAAAGCATGCGTTGTACTGGTTTATCGCCGTAAACTCGACTGTCAAGTCTTGACAGGTGGCACTCATTGTGTCGTATTACCTCCCCGCAACGCCACATATGGCCTATATTTATTGAATGCGCAGCTGCATCCATGTATTCTGGTTTGAGCAGTCTCGGCGGAATAAGGATGACTAAGCTGTCAATGATGTTTTGCGAAGTCCTGTAGGTGTGCTGTGTATGCCAGTATACTAATTGCGCTGTGTTTCTGTTTTCCAAGCGTTAATTGGGACCTGTGCCAACTGTAGTCGAAGTTTGAATGGGTACCTGTGCCGACTGTTCTTTAACACGCGCACGGGCTAGATATCCTTCGTTCGTGTGGGGAGTCAATTTGACCCCCTCCCCTAAGATCTCGGAAACTAAGAAAGCTGGAGACACCAAATTCGCAGGGTGTGTTGACCTGTACGTTAACTCACATTGGTCAACGTTTGAGGTCACTGGGTCATGACTTTCGGGTCAAATAAGATCAAACAAGGTCAAATTTCAGGTTGGTCTCCAAAGTGCCCCCAGAACCTAGATAACTGTTTCTAAGCAAAAGGTCACAAGCTCATTTAAGGTCAGTGACCTTGTTTGACCTTTTAAAGGTCATGGTGATCAAAATCATACAAGACTGCCCGAGTTTTGGATTTGAATTAGGGACAAAGGTTATGCCTGGTAGTATGTTTCTGAAACAAAATGTTGACTGGGGTCATTTTAGGTCAGTGACCTATTATGACGTATAAGAAGTCAAATGAAGATGTATGATGCGGTTCCTGCTATCAGTTAATTCAACATGAGCACCGGAAAATACCCCATACAGCAAGCCCTAGAGCAATCAAACAGGTTGGTTTTGACCTTGGTCTGACCTTCATATCTGACCTTAGGTCAGCTTAATTTGATCATTCAATGCTTGTGTTGCCTGGTATAGCATCTCAAAGATGTACAGCTTCGTCAAACACTCCCTTGGTGCATCAGATTGAACGATTCCGTAGAAATTGACTTTGCTGAAACCATGGCCTGACTGTGACCTGCCATAGGTTAGTGGCCTTACAGATTGCATCTAAGTGTCTTATACCAAACGATCCGCTATTCAATTGTGAACAGTCATGCAAAATTTGGCGCGGCTACCCCGCGCCGTTCGGAAACTACTCTGGAAAAACCGTTGGGGGGTCAACTTGACCCCCACCCGAGCTGCGTGTTAAAGCATGAATTTGGATATGTGCCGACTGTAGTTGAGGCGTTAAATGGGACATGTACCCATTGTAGTCCAAGTGCTGATGGGACCTGTATAATAATTACATTTTTTAAAATATATTATATATAAAATAATTATATATAATTTAAAAAATAAACTTAGTATAAGTGTTTGTTGGGACCTGTGTCAACTATAGCGAACCACTCATGGGTCCTTCGGCCAGCAATAATCCCGCTGTATAAAGCGGCCGGTCCGCGCGGCAGCGTCGTCAGCCTCGTGTGGTCCCCGGCCGCGGCACGAGTTGCGGACGAACACCGCGACCAGGGGTCAGTGGCGGTGCTGCGACATTGGTCCCGGCCGCCACGCGCTGCCTAACCGCCCAACCGAACGGTAATCTGTGCGGAGCCTCCGCCGGCCGGCTCATTATCCACGCAGACAAATGCCCGACGCCGGCCGAGATTAATGGCGAGGGATGGCTCGGCCACTGATGGGATGGTGACCCGGCCTGGTGGCGACCGAGCCGCGCGCTGCGGATGTCTCACGGCGCGGGCCGCCTGCGTGCGACGAGGCCCCGCCCCCCGCCGGGGAGCGTAGCGTCGTGACGATACCCCGCCCGGCACGGCCCGGGCCCTCCCCCCGCCGGGGAGCGCGGCGTCATGACGATACCCCGCCCGGCACGGCCCGGGCCCCCCCCCCCCCCGCCGGGGAGCGTCGCGTCGTGACGATACCCCGCCCGGCACGGCCCGGGCCCTCCCCCCCCCCCCCGGGAGCGCGGCGTCGTGACGATACCCCGCGCGGGAGCGCTGCGTCGCGGCGATACCCCGCCCGGTACGGCTCGGGTCGGTACGGCCGCCGCCGGTGGGCGATGCCTCGTGACAGCGCCGAGGTGATGTTCGTCCCGGTCGGGTGCGGTGCCCGGTCGAGTGGCGTGTGGCGTGATGGCACGCGCCGGGGGCTCCTCTTGTCCCGCATAGTGGCGTTCTGTTGTAATGCCGCGGGACGGGCTGTGCTGGCTCCGCGCCGTATGGTGTGCTCACAAATGATGTGTTGTTGGACTCAAGAAGACACTGAGCAAGGCCAAGTGCGGCAGACAGGTGGAGATCCAGCTGTGGAAGGCGCTTAACTAGATGAAGTACGCTCATTGCTGGTTATAATGGCTGTTGGCTGTCTAAATATCGGTAACCAGCCACGTGTAACCAGTATGTCGTAACCCAAATACTGTACGCGTGATTTGAGTGGCGCACTGGAGAACCTGAAACCAAAGGCTCCCTGAAAATATGACCAGCCCATTCTTGGCACAAGGGACCCTCTTTGGATGGAAGTAGATATCTTCGTTAGCTTGATCATGAAGCAATTTGACACAGATTTCCCTGGTGAGCGTCCGTAACAAGCTGCTGGCAGAGCAGGCCTCACCGGTCGTGAGGCAAGGTGGGAGCAGGCTTCACCAGGGTGGAAGCAGGCTTCACCGGACGTACGGCAGGCGGGAGCAGGCTACACCGGACGTTAAGGCAGGGCGGGAGCAGGCTTCACCGGACGTGAAGCAGGCGGGAGCAGGCTACACCGGACGTTAAGGCAGGGCGGGAGCAGGCTACACCGGACGTTAAGGCAGGGCGGGAGCAGGCTACACCGGACGTGAAGCAGGGCGGGAGCAGGCTTCATCAGATGTGAGGGCAGGGCGGGAGCAGGCTACACCGGACGTGAACTGGTCTTGACCGGCAGCTGCCCAGTCTGACATACGTAGGTGGAAATGATGTGTCTTTTGCTTCTGGTACACTCGGTTAGGACCATCGTGTAGGGAAAGAACTGCTTTCTTGAATGTTTTAAATTTGAATTGTTTTAAAGCACGTAGGAAGTTCCGAAAATGTTTTTTTTCGAACTGGCATGTTCCAAGCGGTTTAGGTCACATGTGCCCTGTGAATCTCCGGTCTTGATAACCTGGTCTCTTTCCGGCTCTGATACTCCGTCTCCGTTTCTGACATACCGTGTTCAGTTCAGGTACCCGAGTCCGTCTCCGTTCCTCGACTCCCGTCTCCGGTTGTGGCCTCTCATCCCCAGCGCAAGCTCTCGTGCCCGTCTCCGGTTCTGATCTCCTGTCTCTGGTCCTGTTATCCCGTCTCCGGTTGCGAGCCCCGATCTCCGGTCCCGATTTCGTCTCCGGTCCCGGTCGCCGTAGGCCGGCTGGCAATATCGGCGCTCCGGCGATGCCCCCTCCCCAGCCTCCCTCCAAGACGACTGCCACTGTCGGGGGAGGGGCAAACGCGGCGCTGTCCGTCTGTCAGACACCGTCGTAGCTCGTGATAGGGGGCGGGTCCGCTCCGGTAGTGGACACGGGCCCGCTCCTGCCGCTCTGGAAGCGGACACGGGCTCGCCCCGACCGCTCTAGGAGTGGACACAGACCCCCTCCGGCTGCTCTGGAAGCGGACACGGGCTCGCCCCGACCGCTCTAGGAGTGGACATGGACCCCCTCCTGCCGCTCTGGGAGCGGACACAGGCCCGCCCAGGCCGCTCTGGGAGTGGACACAGGCCCGCTCTGGCCGCTCTGGGAGTGGACGCGGGTTCGCCCCGATCGCTCTAGGAGTGGACACGGCTCCGGTCCTGTCGCTCTGGCAGTGGACACGGACCCCCTCCTGCCGCTCTGGGAGTGGACACAGGCCCGCTCCGGCCGCTCTGGGAGTGGACACGGGTTCGCTCCTGCTGCACTGGCACAGGCGGTTGTGTGTGCGATCGATGGACTGAGTCTGTTCGCCATAAACTTGTGCGTGCACTTTGTCATCTTGTTCGTTTATTCTGTCGCGATATTCTCGATTGTTCGCTGAGGGCTGGTCTGTGAAGTCCTCGTAAGTGAATTGAAAAAGCGCTCACAAGAAGCGCAATGTGTT